ATGAATTGCCACAGTGGGACTCGATCTTACAACCACAAGATTAAGAGGCTTACGCTCTACCAACTGAGCTGGACAAACCATCATATTCACATATGGGTCCACCATATAACAATTGCTGCTGATTTCAGTTTCAGGTTCAACAATTTCATCTTTTATTATTCATAAAAGTATTTATTTTTTTGTTACAAATAAAAGGAAGCTGCTTTAGCAACAAGTGGTAATTTAAAGGTCGATATTGGAGAGGAGAGGATCTTGACTACTTCCTGACTATCCATCTCGACATCGATTCATCTGTAACCTCGATTCCAAGCGATGTTTAAACCGTCGAGAAGGGCACAAAGTTCTATATGGAAGAATGAGCATCGACCAATGCTGCGAGAATAGTTTGATAACCAAATGCCTTCAGAGTCCCGGAATATACCGCCACCCGCCGCTTCTATTGTGGACTGATTGACGGCTCCATCAGTGTTGAGCTTGACCACTCCTGGATTGGGAGGTCTCCAAATTTGTTCCCTGGATATGTCATTTGCTTTGGTGGCGACAGAGGAGGATTTAGCCTGGATGGAATGGGCCCATGAACACGCAGAGTGGATGATGGTAGGGGTAGACATACCTCGTCCTTGAAAACAAAACTGCATCGTTGTTTCCAAAGTCTCCATATCAGAATTCCAAATAGATATCTCCAGTAATAGACGATCTCCACCATACATGCAGGATTACTGAGATTAGATTCTAATCAATCAATCAGATTAAGAGAAAAGAAATTCTCTGTTAAGTGCGGAGGAGTGTAATCACGCATGATATGAATGATGGATTCTTCACTGGCTCCGCATATCGGATATTCGAAATCCATCGTCAGACCTTGTCTACTTCTTTCCATGTTTGTCATAAGACAATTCCGAAGCACTAACCAAATAAAATTTCTGATACGTTGGGGACTGTCAAAATTGCACTTTAAATTCTAAATCGAATCCTTTCCATCCCAGTGACCATGATTTAAAGCGTGGTAGGCCGACTTGACCGTACAGGTCCCATTTTGCTCCCAGCGTCAGACAGGGAGGTCGTAGGCCGCTTCAACACAAGGGGGAATGGCTATGATTTACTGGATCAAATCTTCGTCGACAAGGTTCCTTAACTTGGACAAGTCCCAGGTGTCGTTATTAGTGACGAGGTCACTGAGAGGACAATCAGGGTTTCAGGTTGGGTCAAAGGTCACCCATTTTGCCGACGGATCCTTCGCAGGAATCCATGCATCAGTCTAGAACTTTATGGTTTCCCTGTTACCGATCAACCAATAGACGTTATCTTCGACGAACTTAGAGACTTTGGCGAGGGATCTCCAAAACAAAGGAACAATTCTTGGTATCGAGCTGGGTAGGACACAAGTTCTTATATATATATATATATATATCCTAATATTCATTACAATTATGCTATAAAAAATAAAACATGCAAATAAATAAATTATATAAACAGTGTCCTGTAGAGATTTTGAATTTCAAAAATTACGAAAAGAATTTTATGTGAAGCACTTCATCATAATACATTTTAATTTTTAAATAAATCCAAACTGTATAAACGAAGTTTGGAGAAAATAAATTTCTACTTAAGGTCCATTTGTTTGGAGTAAAATATTTTACGGGAATATTTTTCATGTTTTCCATTGTTTGGCAATATAAAGTAAAATGGGTCAATATAAAAGGTTTAACGGTCAAAGACAAAAGAAGCGTATTTTTTTTTTTTGTATATCCAAATGTATCCCCAGGCTTTGTCTGAGACTAATCCCCCGAGGTATTGTCGGGCATTAAGGTAGGGACCTCTCTCAAGAAAATTTGCTGCATCCATAAGGGTTCGAGCCAAAGACCCCTTGCTTAAGCGATCAGAGCCCCTCTAACTCAGGTCAACCTTCGTTGGTAAAAAGAAACGTATTTTATAGTAAAAAAACTTATCTTAAAATTTTTAAAAGTCATTTTACGAAAATCTTACTTTCAGAAGAACATCTTCTTGTCTTCTCTTTCCCTCATTAGTGGTAATGTCAAGATTTTCTTTAATCAGCAGCACAATATGTAAGATTTAACTTTTGATTCATTATCTTTTTCTATTTTTCTTCTCTTTTGTTTTCTCTTATGCCATGATTTCAGTAGAAGCAAAACAGAAAACCTTCATTTTCCTTCTTTATTTTATATAAGTAAGAGGTGAGTGAAACTTGTTAATATTTCAATTTTTGATTTTTTACTTCAGCTTTTATAGTTTGCTTTATTCATGTGAAATAATCATAAATCAAAGAAGAGAAGAGGATAAAAATTATTATTTTTAATTCTATTCCTATTGATTCATAGAAAATAAATGTTAGATTTTTTTTGTTAATTTATTATTTGTTGAAATTTAGTTTCTAAATAAAAAAATTTATTGAAATTTCATGGCTATTAAGTTTTTTCTTTTCCTTCCTTGATAGATTTAAAAATAATTCCTTTATTTTCTATAGGCATGACTTTAAAACAATGAATGTTCTTATCTTTTGATATGCTTATAGAAATAAAACATTATACTTTATATTTGAGAATTTATAAAATATAATTTTATAATAATAAAATTAAAAAATAAAAATATGAAATATGTATGCATGCATGTTTATTTATTGAAAATATATTTAAAAAATTATTTTCAAAAAAAAAATCAAACAATAAAATTATTTTACACTGCAACATCCAAATAACGAAAAAAATATTCTCTTAAAAAATAGATATAATTTAATTTTCAGAATTTATTTCCGTCATTACTTTAAAATGGGTGGTGTGTTTTTGAATCACAAATGATTTCAAAATTACCTAAAACACCTTTTTTTTCAGGTGGAAACTGAAAAGCGAGACTCGAACTGCACGAGTACATGGAATGGTGTCCTGCCAGCCTCAATGATTTTCTGACCAAAACAAATGTCGGGAAACCTGAAACCCAAATTTAAATAAAGAGTTAATTTACATAAAATCCAGATACTATAACTCCAATTTTAAATTAGTACCTAAGTTTTAAATATTTTATATTTTAATCACTATAATAATCTATTGTTAAGAGTTTCAAAATTTTAATATATTTTTCGAGTGTATGGAAATTCCGAAGAATTTTCAACAAGTTACTGCCACAGGCAACATGTGTACTTATTATTTTTGACGATGAATTTATTTGTTATAATTTCAAAGTTATTTCATAAATATGAAAGTTGGAACTAAAGAATCAATAACTATTGATTAAATTTTTCGGAATTTAAAAAGTCTAACCTGTTAGGGATCCTACTCATATGCTTGTCACAACAAAATTGGACAATCATAATCCAAATTAAGAACGAAATAAACGGCTTAAAAAATTAAAATAATAAAAATAATAATAATCTTTTTAATCATATTTATTTTACCAACAAAAGGAGCCCATTTATATGCTAGAAAAATTCTAAAATTGAGGCAGAAATAAAGATAATATACATAGTAATTTCTTAAAACACTTAATAAAATAAATAATAAATGAATTATAACTTTATCTAAATCTCTTAATAAATCAAATAAATGATAAATATCATATTAAATGTTAACAATTATATATAATAAATAAAAATATTTAAAATTTATGATAAATGAATTTGTTAACTTGCTAATTCTGTGTAGATCAGTCTAAACAGACAACATGGGGAAATGGTTGAAATAATGCCTTTGAAAAAATATTTACCAAAGTAATCCACCTTCAACATTATTTTCTGGAATATACCAAATGATACAATATTTTAGAAGACTCTAAGAGTGCATGGAGTCTTTAAATGAAGACTCCATGCCTTGGCAAAATTGAAAACACATGGATTACTATGCATCTTCCACTCAAATAATTAAAGTAGCCCGATGTTCCTGGCGTCTATCCATTTACCCTAGATTAGAAAATAATATGAGGAGAGCCTTATATGGGGAATTTCCCCCACTACTCTACATGAGCAAGGAAGCGGAAAGAACATACATGTATATGCTACTATTACGAGAGGAGATTGAGGATGAGTAGGGCTATAAATTAGTCAAGTCGAGCTCAAGTATTATTGAGTTCGACTCGATTCAAAAACTCTAAAATAGAATTCAACTTGACTCGAAAACTCATGAGCCTAAAAAATTTTAAGCTTGACTCGAATTCGAAATCATGAACTAAAGCTCGTAAAAACTTAAAAATGCTCGAAAGGAAAAAATCTTAAACTTAATTTGATTAAAACCTCAAACTCGAACATGAACCATAAATACATGAAAACCTTATACTATATTTTTTAAAAAAAATCAACATATAAATGTTAATATTATTAATAATTTATTTAAAAAATAAAATCTTAATATGTTATATTTTCGAGCTACTCACGAGCTTTCCTAATCGACTATTAAGTAGCTCATTTTTACTCGTCAAGAATTCTAGTAGAATATTTATCGAGTTTTAACCGAATCGATTTCGAATAACCCGTGATCAGTTTGGTATCATTTACAAACCGTAGGATGAGGATGTGTTGATTAGCTCTTATAACTAGTTATTACATTTAACTATTTAATTCAAGTCAGAATTACAATTGAAACCTTTTATTTTAATTCATCGTGAATGAGTAGAAGTAACAAAATCTGGATCCAGCCTTGTCTGTTTGTATGTATGAATCAAAACAACAATTCAAATTGTTTTCAAACTATTCAATACAATGTATGTATATTTGAGAAGTGAGAACAGCTTTTTATGTAATCCATCATTTCATATTCCAATGTCTCACCCTATTAAATGATGTCTTTGTCAGTGCTTTCTGATGCAATGCGATTTATGCTCAGTAAACTAATAATATTTTGAATATCACTGTTCAAAGAAATTCAAACTTTTTTTATATGCGAAAAATCACTCTCTCTTCTTCCACATCAAACAACACTTGTTTCTCGTCTCTTCTTCTGCAACTTCTCGTTGCATGGAACCCAAGCTTTCGATTATGATCGAATGAAGCGTTAGAAGGAGTGGCATCAGCAAAAACAATGTTACCTTCTCTTCAAAAAGTTGTTTCTTTTCTGCTTCTCTTCACTTCACTGGTTTCGTCTCTCAATTCCGATGGTCTCTCTCTTCTTGCTCTCAAGGCAGCCGTGGAATCTGACCCAACTCGGTCCCTGCACAGTTGGTCCCAGTCTGACTCAACCCCATGCCACTGGCCGGGAATTGCTTGCACCCACGGACGAGTCACCTCAATCTTCCTTCCTGGAAAAGGGTTAACTGGTTACATCCCATCGGAACTCGGTCTCCTCGACTCGCTAACTCGCCTTAGTCTCTCTCAAAACAACTTTTCGAAACCAATCCCTTATCATCTCTTCAACGCTACGAACCTTATATACATTGACCTGTCTCATAACTCATTCTCCGGCTCAGTTCCTCTGCAAATACAATCCCTTAAAAACTTAACCCACCTCGACCTTTCCTCTAACTCACTCAACGGGTCACTCCCCGAGTCACTTGTTGAGCTTAAAAGCTTGAGAGGGACCCTCAACATGTCTTACAACCAGTTCTCAGGTGAAGTTCCGGCTTCTTACGGAGAATTTCCGGTTATGATAAGCTTGGATCTGAGGAACAATAATTTATCCGGGAAAGTGCCTCAAGTTGGTTCCCTGGTGAACCAAGGGCCCACTGCATTCACAGGAAACCCCAATCTCTGTGGGTTTCCGTTGGAGAATCTTTGCCCTGAAGCCCAAAACCCCAGAGATATTTTAAACCCCGAGGAAAACCCAGAAAATCCCAAGGGTTTAACTCCCAATTTTAATGATGGGAATGGAGGAAAAAACAAGGAGAAAACTGGGTCGGTGGCTGTTCCTTGGATCCCAGGCGTCTCTCTGGTGCTCGGGGCGGTTTCGATCCTTCTGTGGGTGTTCCGGAGAAAATGGAAATCCGGGGAGCGCAAAATGGGGAAGGAGGAAAAGAGGGAGGAGGTTGTCGAGGAGGTGCAGAATGATAAATTCGTGGCGGTGGATGAAGGGTTTACTTTGGAATTGGAGGATCTGTTGAGGGCATCGGCATATGTGGTGGGGAAGAGTAGGAGTGGGATATTGTATAAAGTGGTGACTGGGAGGGGATCCGGCACGGTGGGGGCTACGGTTGTTGCCGTGAGGAGGTTGAGCGAAGGTGATGCCCCATTGAAGAATAAGGAGTTTGAGGCTGAAGTTGAGGCTATTGGGAGAGTTAATCATCCCAATGTTGTGAGGTTGAGAGCATACTATTATGCCAATGATGAAAAGTTGCTGGTCACTGATTTCATCCGTAATGGAAGCTTGTATGCTGCATTGCATGGTAACATTCCTCTCCTAGGTTTTCATTTCATTTTATCATCCTTCTAAATTGTCATGCAATTCTTGAAGTAGTTGCAGTTTTTCAATGCCTTTATCATCATTTCATTTTATCATTCATTTTTTCTTTTGTTTTTTTATCAATATATACAATGCCTTTAGCATTGTATTAGATAAATAACAAGTAGACGTCATTGGAACTTACTTTGAGAACCTATCAAGCGATCTCAATGGTAGAAGAGAGTGATATTCTCGCTTTAAGATCCATTGTCAATTGATTAAGAAAATTCTGAACGAATATTACCTTGTAATGTGCAAGGTGTATTAAAGCACCTATATTCTTGAGGTACATAACTGAGTTTTCTAGGTTTCTAGTTTTTCCTGTTTGAGGCCTGTGAGCTGAAAACTACAAAGTGGCTAATTTTAGCAATTGGTGATAGGCAGTGTTGTTTCATTTCCTAACCTACACATACACACAAGTAACAATAAACAGAGAATATGATATAAGCCTTTCGTTACTACTTTCAAATGACTTGCTGGATCATTTTACAGTGTTTGTTGGTCCTCATTGGCCATGGTGTTAACTCAGCCTTTTGTTAATACAACAGAGATGTCTTGCTTTGCTTTTATTGGAATCATTTTACTTTTTCAAGTTCAAAACATTTGTGATTATAGTGGTGTGGTCGTGCTGGTATTATATGCTCGAACAAATTGAATGACCAAAATTTATTGAATGGACCCCATCAAGGTTGCTGTCAAGCTCATGTTTTTTATGCATTAGGTTTTTATTGTTGACATTTAAAAAATGTGGGTCACAGACAGAATAGTTGGCTTGTTATTATCTGAAATGCATTTGTATGTTTCAGGTTTTGTCCTTAGAAATTGCCTTGAAAATATCATTCTTCACTAGATTGTTTATATTTTATAATAACTCTGAAGTTGGTTTTTTGTTTTGAGTTAAAATTATAAGATTAACACTTCTGGGGTCCGATGTTGTTTTGGCACTCGAGTACTCGAGCATGATCGGGGAACCGCTGTCCACCGTTTTTCCAAAAGAAGCCTTGTGCATTTCGATTCTGTTTCATTGTTAAATCTCTGATAACCATTTTCATGCAATGCAGGACCGACTGAAAATTTTCCACCACTTTCCTGGGCTGCAAGGTTGAGAATTATTCAGGGAACTGCAAGGGGTTTAATGTACATTCATGAATACAACCCTCGAAAGTACGTTCATGGCAATTTGAAATCAACAAAAATCCTTCTTGACAATGAACTTCAGCCTTACATATCCGGTTTCGGACTCACTCGCCTTGTATCTGGGACTTCCAAATATGCAAGTTCAATAACCAAAAAGCTGAACTCATCCCAAAGCATTGCAGCCTCTGCGGTGAGTTCAAGAATTTCAACTCCTAATTCCTACCTGGCACCCGAGGCTCGAGTATACGGCAGCAAATTCACTCAGAAATGCGATGTGTATTCGTTCGGAATTATGCTTTTGGAGATTTTAACTGGTCGACTGCCTGATGCTGGCCCTGAAAACGATGAGAAGGGATTGGGAGGTCTTGTGAGGAAAGCATTCCGAGAGGAGCGTCCACTGTCTGAAATCGTTGACCCAGCACTGCTAACCGAAGTTTATGCGAAGAAGCAAGTGGTCGCAGCATTTCACATGGCACTCAATTGCACCGAACTTGATCCGGAGTTGCGGCCTAGGATGAGAACTGTGTCTGAGAGTCTTGACCGGATCAAATTGCACTGAGAATTCGTCGAGGAATGAATCTCCAAAAGCAGTATTTGTAAAGTTCCATCTCTGTTGCTAACTCTTGGCTCCTGCTGGAGCTGTTTCGCTGTATTCAATCTCTCTGGGTGCGCGATCACTTGTAGGACTTGTTCGATTACTGTTGTAATCAAATTCCGTAATCTTTAATTGTTTTGATCAGTCCATATTTGAATGTCGATCAAAGAAGACCCATGCATTTGCTTAAGGACATCGATTCTATAATCAATGCAAATAGTTGGGAAAACATCAATGATGTCAAAATTTTGGATCAAGACAGAAAAGCTATTTTTAATAGTGGTAGTAAGATACAAATTTACTAAATGCATATATAATATAATGTTTGTTTGCATTCATATATATAATATATTTGTTAGCTCTAACGAACAACCGAAATATGTGCCTTCTAAGAAATGTGGCTCTTACGAACAACCGAAATATGCGCCTTCTAAGAAATTTGGTGGAAGCAATCGAAAAATTAAAATGTTTGCACAAAGATTTAGAGTGGTCCGATTTTCTCAAACAAAGTCTACATCCACTATCTTAACATCTACACTAAAGATTTCTCAAATCCACTGGATTTGTTTACCTTTGAGGATAAGGTGTAACCTTACAACAACCCACAAGGTTTATACCCCAAAACCTTGTTTACACTCTTTCCACAAGATTAAATACAAATAAAGCAAATAAAGATAAAATCTCACAAGGCAAATGTGTTTGCACTAATTAAGTTCTCGCCTAAATCACACTTGAACAAAATAAACAATAAAGCTTACAAGTGTGTTTACAACAAAGAACTTACAAATTAAGCACACAAAAAAAAAACTTTTATGTTGGTAGGTTGTTCAATATGATTCTTGTTACCTTGGGAAACTTTGACTTCAATTTATACATTCTCCATTAATTCTAGCCATTTAGAGCTCTTGGGGATCATTATAATCGTTCCCTATAATCAAAAACAACATTTAATGCACAAGTGATCGATCCTTCGGTGAAAGGGATTGATCTTTTTTCAAAAAATTCGATCGTTGACACAAATGGATTGGTCCTTTAAGGGAATGGATCGATCCTTTTCGTCGAGAGATCGATCATTTTGGTGAAGGGATCGATTTTTTTCCTCAAGAGATAAAGGGATCGATCCCAAACTCACTGAAATCCGAGGATCGATTCTTTTTCAAGGGGATCAATCCTTTGAGCCAAAAATCTTTGGAAACTTAAATTTAAAATGCAAAAACGATCGAGTATGTTTTTGAAAAGGTTCGACGAAATTGGAAAACATTTAAAACATTTTTCAAGTTAATTTGGACTTTGAATTATTTTTAATAATATTTTGATAAATTTGATTAAGTACAAAATCAATTTTGCAATTTATTGTTATATCAAAATCTTAATTCAATATTATTTAATATTATTAATAGTCTGTAGAGTGTGTAGTGAAAAGCTCTTAGTTGACATCTCTTCTCTTCTTTCGAGTATGGGTTCAAGACTTATTAAAGGGCATTTGGATCAAGTAAAAGATCATTATAAAAAAAATAATTTTTACGAAATAATATACTCACATTTGGTTTAAGAGCATTTTCTCTCAAGAATAATAAAAATTACCTATAATAGTTTTCTTGGTTTGAATTCCTCATAATGTCATTCTTTTTAAGTTATTAAACAATTTCCTCCTTTTAAGACAAGAAAAGTATATACGTATAATCTTGTATATGTTATACTTTGACCTCGTTGAGATGTATGTTTTGCAATAGAAATAGTGAGAATATATAAGATAAATCTTAATCTTAGACACTCGCAAACAACAAAGCATATTCTCAAGTATCTATTAAAGATTATATGCTTATATATTTTGGATAGAACCCAACACCTCTTGGATATATATAATAACCGATCCAGAAATATTTTTTAGGGTGATCACATATATATTAATAACATAAATTTTTTAAATAGGACACGAGCACAAATAAAATTTCAAGGAGTACACTGTCCGTAAAATAAATAATTAATCGAAAAAAATTCAAATTTCATGATGAACATGAAAAATTTTAAAGTATACACAATCAATAAAATAAATAACAAATCGATGAGTTTTTTTAAAAGCGAGCAAAGTAGTGAGATCTCACGTGTCTTTGTTTCCTTCCGCACAAACAATGGGCTTTTATTTAATTTGGAGGCCTTCGATCTTCAATGCAACCCTCGCCTTCTTTCTTTTCTTTTCCTACTTTTCACCCTTTTCTATCACAAAAATCATGGAGATCGGACCCCATTCTTAAAATAATCATACTCCCATCACTTGTGTTATTTTTGTATGTTCTATTTTCAGATGAAATCTTTGGTAATTTAAAACAGGGTAAATTCTGTTGATGACACCTAAACTTTAGGATGCTTTTACTTCAGTCGTTGAACTTTTAAAAGTTGAATTAAAATCATTGAACTTTATGATCATTCTGATTTCGATGATTGTCGATAACCTCAACTGATTTAATATTATGTGTATCATTGTTATTAATAAAGTAATACTCTCAAATAAACCTCCTTTACATAAAGGCTTTGTCCTTTTATTTATTTATTTTTATTAAGCTAAGGTGATTACAAAATAATATCGGTTCTAAATACTCTCAATCATTTGATAATGAACACTCAATCACCCTGCTACAATTGTTGGTACTCGAACCCGTGACCTTTACGAACAACAAAATTTACTTTAACTACTGAGGTAAATTAGTTCGCGTGACTTTATCCTTTTAATTCATTAATAAAGTGATAACACACGCTATCATCTTATTAAAAAAAGAATATTAATTTATTAAAATTTAGTTTAATCAAAATTAAAAAAAAACCTAAAACTTAATGACTCCTATATAGTTTTTAAAAGTTTAATAATCAAAATAAAATATTTTAAAATGTCAAAGATTAAAATGAGTTCACTGCCATTATCTTAATGAGGCATGGGTGGCAATGATGTCAGAAAAAACTTGTACCAGAAAACATTTGGATATGTATTTTTTAATATTTACATAGAGTTTTTTTTTTATCAAAATGGATTTTTATAATATTTAATTTAAACTAATTAATTAACAAATTAAATATTAACGATTATAAGAAAATATTTTAATCTTACGTGAGGAAAAATAGTTTTATAGATGATAGAACCAAAACAACTTGTATAAATTGAAAAGTAAACATTATTAAATATTTTAAAATAATATTTTATAGTTTTAAAATAATATTTTATAGTGTCAAAATTAAACCTAATATTCTCAAAACGATCATTTTAATCTCTATTTTGGGTCGATATTTTATTTTAAGAGAAAATAATCTTTAATATTCGATGAAATAGCCACTTTAGCTTTTATATTTTAAAAAAATGGCTTTGAGAAACTGCTTAGGGTCCCTATTTTTTTTGTATTTATAATTAGGGTTCTTAATTTTTATAATTTGATAATTTTTTTATTTTGACCATCATTTTTCATTTCTCTTATTAATTATTTCAATTTCGAATTAAGTTTAACCAATTTTTTATATTTATACTATGGCTCCTAATTTTTATATTTTCATAAAATGTTTAGTTTTTTTTATCATATTTTTCAATTTCTGTTATTTATTCATTCAATTTTGAATTAAATCTAATTATTTTTTCCTTTTTTTTTCAAATCTTACTCTTCAATTATCAAACATTCTTTAATGTTTAGTCTTCTTCAATCTCAATCTAACAATAAAACAATATACACTTTTTTATTTATTATTCAAAATTAAGCTATGTATCATAAATACGTTCATTTTTTCTATTTATTCTCATTTAGTTATATTTAATATGTTTTCATAATAAAATAATAAAAAATATTTATTTAATCATTTTTCCTATGATTTATTTATGTAATATTAAATTGATTGTTCAAAGTAACAAAATATACTTTTATTTTATAAAGACATATTTTTTAATTTTCGCTTAGAGTATCGAAAATATATGAGACGTCTCCATTGTTAATTAACAATTTCCATCCCTAGATGAGTACAGTAAAATAACTATTTAATTAAACATTAAAAAAATCTTTTAATATTATATTTCGTTTTATTTCTTACCCTGGAAACAAATACAATAATTTTGGCCATTGGACTGTAGACTAGTTGTGGAGTAAGCACAACAACATAAATGGTCCACATGCAAACTAATAAATAAATATATATGTGTGGAAAATACGATCCAGACACCCCAAGTCTAATCCAGCTAAGCTACATGATATTTCTTCTACTCAAAATAAGAATGTAATAAAATATTTTGACTATATCAAGCTTAACAAATATTAATATTATAAAAATCAGATGGAAGACTAATTGATTATTCTATAACTTTTAATTTAATTGATTAAATTATAATATAATATAATATTAATGTAATAAATACATCTTGTAGATGTGTAATAATAAAACTTCTAAAATACTCAATAAGAGACTACGTTAAGAAAATAAAGTTCCAAATATTCTACTAACATTTTCAAAGATATTGATTAATTTTCTTGAAGTTACAATTATTATATAATTCAAATAAAAAAATTGATTATTATAAATATAATAATTAAAAATACCTATAAGTGGTCGTCCATATGGTTATAAAAACCTAATTGACCGGGATTCCTTCAGAGAGCTTCAAATTTTCTATGAGTAAATTATACATTTAATATCTAAACTATCAGCTTTAGTCTGTTTTAATATTTAATTTTTTGTTTTTTTTAAAATAATATCTAAAATTTAATTTTTGTTTCATTTTTAGTACAACTGTTCAAAATTTAATGTTAAAGTTTTGAAAATATTAAAAATTGAGCTACTAAAACGGATCAAAATTGATAGTTAGGTATTAAACGCATTAAAGTTTTTAATGTCATGTACTAAAATGAAATGAAAACTAAACGTTAAGTATGATTTTAAAAAAATTAAACGTTTAAGTACTAAAGTGAGTCAAAACTGATAATTTAGGTATTAAATGTATAATTGATTCAATTTCTGTTTCCCATCCATCATAATAGTAAAATCGAATCTTAATTTTGCCCGTCCTTTTAAAATTATTTTTTTCTGAGAAATAATTTTTCTCTTTATATGAATGAATGCTCCATTGTTTTGTAATAAATTTGTGTGGTACTTTAAAATAATCATATAAATAAATTAATACAGATAGTTATGCTAAGAAATAATCATCCGCTACGTATATAATAATTTTTAAAAAATTTGAGATTAAAATTTAAATTTTATATTAAATATCATATTATTAAAGTAAATATAAAATTTTAGTAACTATTTAATATTGAAAGAAACGTAGTATTTAATGTGGTTAAAGCGATGAATCCAAAATCTGATTGGTTTTGACTTCATGTAGAGTATGAACAAATGAGCGGTGAAGATGGAACGCTAAAAATGGAGAAAGGCGGCGCCTCTTTATGATTGAATTGATGGCTGAAAAGATGAAAAAGAAAGGAATCGAATACCGCAGAGATCAGGTGCAATCACGGGTTTTCCAACCGACCCATCTGTAAAAAATTCAAAAATAAATCTCAAATTAAAAATATATTTAAAAATGTATTAAAAATAAGTTTATTTCATTTTAGTGGGTGAAATGTTCGAATTTTATAACCCTTTTCAAATAAAAAATTATTTTATGAATTAAGTTTTGAAAATGAAATTAACAAAATTTAACCGTTCAAGCTAACAATTGCATTGTTTTCTTAGCTTTCAAAATGTATAAGAACCGATTTTTTTTTATATAAAAATAAAGGGCTTAACTTCCTAATATTCATAAAATAGAATGACGAACTTTAAAACTATACGTTTACATTTTATGTATATTAAATATCAATTTTAATTAATCAAAAAATATAAATTTTAAAAATATAACAAACGGTGGGTCGATTAGAAAGATAAGACATTGTTTTTGAGTGATAGAATAATAAAATAATACAAAGACTAAAATCTCAAAATAACACTATTTAAAAATTATAAATAATCATAATTACACTATATGTGATATTATTAATTATAGTCATTATAAATATCTCTCAATCAAGCTATAGAGAAGATTAAAACTTCTACTATCTACATATAATCTCTCTTCTTTAATCAAAGAATTCGATTGAACTTTTATTAAGGATTCGGAAAGCAAATAGTCGCTTAATGCAAAACGTCTTAAAAAACTTGAAAAGTAAAACTAAACAATTGACAAGATCAATTTATTTTTATCAATAATTAATAATCATGATAATTGATATAGTTAAAATTTAAATGGACATTTATATAGTTCAAATTTTTAAAAAATCAAATTAGTTAAAAAGTAAATTTTAAAATTAAATGATTAAATATAAAGTAGATGTTTTAATATTAAATAAATAAATTTTAAATGTTTATATTTATATTACTATCTATAGTAATAGCCTCCTCTCTTTCTCCTTTCCTTTTTTTATTCTATATTTGTATCGACACCGCTACCTTTCGCTTTCATTAGAACTTCCTTGATTTTGCTGCTCTGAAAACCAAATCTGAGGTTTTTCTCTCTTCCTTCCTTCATTAATCCGAATTTTTTTTCCTTTTATCTATATCTTCTAAATCCTTCAAGTTAAACTTTCATTTTCTCCATATTAGGTTATTTTTCTTCCTTCCCTAGTCAACTTATTATTGTTGGAGCTTTGGTCTTGCAGTTCTTAAAACGAAGCTATTCCTTTTAGTCGCTCCTTCTTCAAGATCTTATCTGACTGCTTGGAAACTATGCTGAAAATTTTCTTCCAGGAAATCGACGCTCAGATTCCTTCAGAATCTTCATCTTCGTTTTAAAGGATTCGTAGAATGGTTTTCTAGCTTAAAAGTTCTCAGCGCAACGTAGCAGAAAAAAAACAGGGTAGAATAGGGGAAATTTCAATGGATTCAAGTACCCATCAAAGCTATCAAAACCAAAACAACCAATCCAATCCTGGGCTATTGCGTTTTCGTTCTGCTCCAAGCTCTCTTCTCGCTAATTCCATCGATACAGTTGATTGCGGAGTCAGCAAAGGCGGTTTCGATATATCCAGATTCATGAATTCAAGCGGCGGCGGCGGCGGAAACGGTGAAATCGAGGATAAATCTGGTTCTGAGGCGGCTGTTAGCTATGCAAGTTCGACGCCGAGTTTTTCAGGGTTGCCGCCTCAGTACCCGAGGCAGAGCTCTGCTATGGATAGCTCATACGACTTAGTGGGTATGGATCAGCAGAGTCGAGGGAAGCCGGTTACTTCTGGCCTAGTGAGGCAAAGTAGCTCGCCGCCAGGGCTTTTTACCAACTTATCTGTTCAAAATGGTATTGTTCTTTTTCTCATTTGTGATATTATCACTTTATTTTGGCTATTGCTTTGATTGGTAAGTTGTTAAGACTTTGTCAGTGTCCTATTGCGGTAGATGGTTTCCCCTTGCATTTAAGTTTTGTTTGGTAAGATTGGAAAAGATTGAAAAGGATGGAAAAAAAATATATTTATTGGTGTATTTAATAAAAAAATTTGAAATCCATTACCTTAGGGGTACTAAAGTAAAGTGTGTTGCTCTCTCTACATGTTTTGGTTCAAGTAATTATATTTACAGCATATGGACGTTGTCAATGATTTAAAAGAACAAATATTGTCTTATTAGATAGAACAAACAATCACAAACCCTAAATATGAACTTTAAAACGAGCAAAGAAGATACATAAAATTTAGATGATGACCCATTCAAACAAGGAAGTTTTGATTGTGGCTTTGTGCTATTGCTGAACAGATTAGTGTTGGAAAATGGGATCTGAAAAGTTGATAATCTTTAAGATTTTTTTTAAATTAAACTACAGAACCTGAATGTTTAGGGGCTGTATGCTGAATCCATTGGGTTGGCCAAAGTTAGCTGAAATTGTGTTGATTGAATAAATTGCAGGCTATGGCAGCATGAAAGGTTTGGGAAACTACAGTGGGGTGAATGGTACGACTGGGGAATTAAGTCCATCTTCCAACAGAATGAAGAATCATATTAGCTTCACAGCAAGACAACCTTCTTCACTGAGCAGGTTGTCGCAGATATCCGAAACCGGTGATGACAGCATCGGGGCTAATAGCTTCGACCACGGTTCTTGGAACAATCCTACCGCACAACTAACGCAGAATTTCTCCGGCTTGAAAAGGTCACGAGGAAACGACCACGAGTTCTTTTCCAATAACCAGGTACAATTAAGTCCCATTTCGATGATCAAGATAACTCAACAAACATAGATTACATTCATGAGTGATTGTTTTGATCAATAGAATGGATACGGTGGAGGTGGTGTTCATGTATTATCGCACCATTTGAGTCTACCAAAGACTTCAAATGAGATGGCTGCGGTGGGGAAGTATCTACATTTTCAAGATTCAGTCCCTTGTAAGATTAGAGCGAAGCGTGGTTGTGCTACTCATCCTCGAAGCATTGCAGAAAGGGTAATATATTTTTGCAGCTTATAAATGTTGCTCATTTGTACATAATTCGGAGATTTCATAAAGGGTAAATTGCTTTCTTCAGGTGAGAAGAACCCGTATCAGTGAACGGATGAGAAAGCTTCAAGAGCTTGTCCCAAACATGGACACGGTAAGATGTTTATTTTCCTAAATGTGTGTACATTCAGTTCTGAAATCATCTAAGTCTGTTAAATTTGACATGGCATGTTTCGGGGTTTTCGTGGGGCAGCAAACAAACACAGCAGACATGTTAGATTTGGCTGTGGAGTACATTAAGCAGCTTCAAAAACAGTTCAAGGTACGTAATAGAGGACACCCTAAAGCACAGTTTTCTATAATTAATTGTATTTTGCCTCCCAAATAGAGCAATAAACGATTCTAGTCAAAAACTGAACTTGACTTGACTCGAAAAGTTTAAAGTTGAGCTTGACTCGAACTTGAATAAAAAATTGAAGCTTGACTCTACGAGCCTAAAATTTTCAAGCTCAAGTCAAAATAAAAAATTGAAGCTTGATTCGAGTTCAAAAAAAATTTGAACTTGGAACATGTTCAGACTTCTCTCAATTGAAGCTCAAATTCGAGTTTAGTTCAAATTTGAACTCGAATTTGAACTTGAACTTTAAGAATTTGAAAACCTTATATTGTATTAAAAATATATAAGTTAATATGGCTAATAATTTAATTTAAAAGTTATAAATTTAATATATTATCTTTTAGGTTATTTGTGAGTTTTTCGAGTCGGATATAATGTAACTCGTTTCGACTTGTTAAGAACTCGAATCGAGTTCGACCTTGAATAGAGCATATTCAATTTGAGTGTTGACAAAATTTTAACCGGTTTGAACTTAAATATCTCATGATCTGTCTCGTCTCATTTACAACTTTATTCTCAAAAAGGGTAATCTTTCACGTTATGTTAGAGGAGAAATTAGAAAAACAATAATCACCATTGGCTGAAGTCACAAATTCCAACTCCAAAATCATATTTGATTGTGCCTCAATTATATCTTGGTTTTGTCCTGTATCACCTCGAATCAAACACCATACTTTTGCTATTTGTCTTACACTCGCAATAATGATCGTTTGCAGACTCTGAGTGACAATCGCGCCAACTGCAAGTGCTTAAATGTTAAGAAGGCAGTGCCTAACCGAGTTCTATGATTTTGCTTCGTTTCTCTACGAATCAATGAAGAAAGCATGAGAAGGAAGAATTGTTGCTCTTTTTTTTTTCTCTGTAAAAAGTTGGGCCACGTTTTCTTTACAAAGTTTCCCACTTCGAAGGTTATGAAATAAAGAGCAAAATTGTATAGGTCGCGACATGTTTTTGAATCGCAATTTCACACTTTTTTCAATAAGAAAAGGTGGCAGTGCGTTTGAGATAGAGAGATTGTTGTATATGCTTAAATTCAGTTGTTATCAAATTTCATCTTATTTTAAACAGTTCAATTTAACTGGAGAGGATAATAAAATGTGAGGTTGATCATCCCATATTGGAATGGGCATTAATGAAACCTTGGTTTGTTCAATTGGTTTTGTCGGAATCTCTATTACGGGCCATGTGAAGTGTTCGTTCGGCGAGGCGCACAGGTAGATAATTTAGTCGACTCTTTTGAAGGGTCCAGTGGCGCGGGTGACACATTGTGCACATAACTACTCTGTCAGTTCTCCAATACATCCAAATCCACCGCCCTGCTAAAACTCCAAATCCCCTTTGCTAATTCGCCTAGTCCTTGGCTCATTATGGTAAGGCAAGACATCATCTATGTTCGAATTTGACAAATTAGCTCGTAATTCAACACAGAAATACATTTTTATACTCCTGCGTCTCGTGTAGGTATTTCAACATTTTCAGTTGGGTTCGTTATTTTCATTTGAATTACTGGGATTGTAATACTATTGAAGATGGTCTTTGGAAACCTCTACACTTTCACTAGATTAGATTCGTTGAAATTCTCAGCACATCATCAGTCAATGTCTTCATACAAGTCTCTCGCTTACTAGAGCTTTTAAAGAATTAGGGACTTTAATTTTAAAGGTAAAGAGTGAAATTAAAAAAAAATTAGGAGCTTCAATTTTAAAGATAAATAGTGAAATTGAAAAAAATTAGGGGTAAAAATGATATTGAAAAAGTTAGGGGCCTCAATTATAAAGGTAAAAAGTGGTTAAAAACTTAAGGGTCTCAATTATAAAAGTAGAAAGTGAAATTGAAAAAAATTAGGAGTTCAATTATAAAGATACAAAGTGAGGTTGGAAAGTTTAGTGTCATCAATTGTAAATGTAAAAAAGTGGGATTGAAAAAAATTAAGGGCCTCAATTATAAAGATATAAAGTAGGATTACACAAATTAGGGGCCCTAATTATAAAGATAGAAAGTAGGATTACAAAAATTAGGGGCATCAATTATAAAGATAAAAACAAATTAAAGAAAATTAAAGGACTCAATTATAAAAATAAAAAGTATAATAGAAAAATTAAAAACCATTAAAAGATCGGCCCCTGAGCTGTTGCTGAGGGTGCAACTTTAATAGCCGACTCTCCTGATTAAAATAAAAGAAAATGAAAAAGATGGACAAAAAATATAAAAAGATATATACAAATTTTGTTCAAAAAATATAAACGCGTACAATGTGTGTTAGATACTTAATTGCATGAACATAAATGAGCACAATTGACTAAAATAAAAGAAAATGAAAAATATGGGCAAAAAAATATAAAAAATATATACAAATTTTGTTCAAAAAATATAAACGCGTACAATGTGTGTTAGATACTTAATTGCATGAACATAAATGAGCACAAGTGGAAGTCTTCTAGTGTTTAAATATAATATTTTAAACATGTATTTATTAAGTAATTGAATATAAGACTAATATATGCGTGACGTCGTTTCTTGACTCGTATTCATATGCTTTTTAATATTTTTTATCTTTATTTTTTTCTTTTATCTCAATCAATTGTGCTCGTGTTATCATCACATTATGTCTAACAAAACATGTCTTTATTCTATATGACAAAAAATGGTACTAGATTGAAAAATAATCTATAATGAGTGCAGAATAAGAAATTTTTAAATAGAATATATTGTTGGAATGTAGTTACAAGTAACCATAACTAGTTGAAAATTTGTTAGTAGTAATTAGTTAGTATTTTATGGTAATTTGGGTTATATAAAACCCAATTGAGAAGAGGGTTTTCACATCAGAATTGTAATAATTTTTATTGATAATAAACTCATATTATATTTTCATTATGTGTTTGTAAACTAAATTCCAAATACAATCACAACATTTCTTCACTTCTTCACACACTCCGGCCACCGACCATTCTTTGTTCCATGCTATTAATGGCACCTTTCTCACATGGTATCATTCGATAAAGATCCTAAAGTTGTTTTCCTTATGTTTCGTTGCAATTTATTATTCCTAAAGATCTTGAATTTTTTTTCCTTCTGTTGTTATGTCATCAATTGACGATTTGGTTCATTTCTCTAATGTTGTTGATATTCCACCGTCATTGTGGCTGTTGTATAGTGTAGATCCTTTCGATTTGTCTTGTTTGAATCTAGTTCATTATTTTGGTATTGTTTTGCTATTCGTATCATGTTGAAGTTCTATTCTAGATTTGATCAGAATCTCGCTTGTGGCTTTCAATGTTGTCGTTCTATAACACCCTAAACCAGTTTCCAAAACCTATTTATTTTCCTTTCAAACGTACTGAATGGTATCATAAATAAAACATAAATAACTAATATAAAACATTTTACAAAATCGAAGCTTCGTGACACATAATTTAAAATCAAAATAATACAGACTCTGAGTTTAAATAGTTGAATACATGAGTAAAGTTCTATGAATACATATACCCACTAAAACTACGATACAATACTCTAAAGGAGATGTTGGAAGTCCTGCTGTGATGGTGCTCCACGAACTGCTCGAGCTACTGACCTGTAAACCGGAAAACATCCAAAGGTTGATCCAGCAGTATAATTGCTAATTTAGAGCAACATAAGAATTTCATTGTAACATCCTTAATATCGGGTTAGTGATCAAATTGTAAAGTTTCAAAATTTGGTGACTAGAGTAGAACCATGGATTAGTTCAATGATTTATTTGGAAATAAATCATAAAAGTTCTTAGTAATTATTAGATTAATTGAAGGGCAAAAGGGTCATTTGACAAGGAAGATTTTTTTTTATTTTCCTTATAAGATAAGGAAACCACGTGGGAAGAGAGAAAATGTTTCATAGTTCTCTTCTCTTCTCTTCTTCATTCTTCATACGTGAAGGCTTGACTCAAAGGTGAGTTTCTTTGTTTATTGATTAATTATTGATTTTAAGGTTGGGTTATGATCATTAGATGATAATTAAGCTTAAGGAAAGCTTAATTTGTTCTAAAACAACAAGATGAAAGATATAGAAGAGATTAAAGAAAATGAGTTTTTAGATGAATTTCTGGAAAAGAGTTAATAAATGAAATTTGAGAAGGAATTTGACTTGCCATCACTAAGAATAAGAGATATATGAAGTTAGAAAGGATTAATAACAAAGTTGAAAGTTTAGCAAGATTCTTAAATTTTAAGAATCATGATGAGATATGAAAGATAAATATGGTTTATATGGATATAAGTTGGTTTAAGTAATGGTAATTGAGTTTAATGACATGATAGGGGCTTAAAATAGAAGAATTGAGTGAAAAGTGGATGGTTTTCGGGCTTAAAATGCAAATTATGGGCAAGGTGTATCGATGCACATTCAATGTGTATCGATGCACTCTTTAAAGAAGAAACATCGAATGTAATTAGTGCATCGATGCACCCACTTAAAATGAAAATATCGAAGGTGATTGGTGTATCGATGCATGGGTAGTGCATCGATGCACATGTTAAAGAATGCATCGATGTACTGTAGAATGTATCGATGCACTTCAAGGGGAAATTGAAATAGACATTTCTTTTGGTCTAAGAAATGATAGATTAGAATATATCAATTGGATACTGATATGTATCAATGTGTGATTATATAGATATCGAGCACGAACAAGTTCCGAAACGATTATCAAGTTAAGATTTGATCGAAAGAAATGAAATCATAAAAGTGGATTGGAACTTAGTGAGGCCCAAGTGAGTGTATATTATTTAGTATATGATGTTTAATGGGAAATAAGACTTGCGATAAGTCTATTTCCAATAGTAAAATGTATGAATTCCTAGATAGAAGTATGTTTTTGCTATGGTTCATATGTGTGAATGAGTCGATGTGGTGACATATTATTGTATATGTTGCATGATTATATGGGTTAACATGTTTTTGTATGTAATGATATCAGAAGTATGTGCTATGTGATGTATATATATGAACATATGTGAAACTAAACTATGTGATTGCATGAGAAAGATATGAGCCATATGACATGATATATGTGAACATGGGAAAACAAATTATAAGATATGAACTATGTGATGATATGAAAAGAAGCTATGTGACTACATGTATATGTGAAAGAAGCTATGAGCTTATATGACATATGATATGAAAGTGCATATGTGGAATGATATAAGTGAAAATGCCTATGTTATATGATACGAGAGCTATAGGTATAGTTAGCTTGCCAAGAGTTGAGGGTTCTACGTGGTCCTTCGGGACTTATATGTATCATTTGGAACATTTACAGGGTCTTTTGAGATAGATTTGATCCACTGGAATATGTATATAGTTCTTAAGGAGTGGTCCTTTGGGACAAATACAATATATAGGTCATTCGGGACAAAATTTCATAGCCTCTAGTGGGACCCCTTACGAGCTGTGGTGATAGCATAGTGCACAACCTCAATAAACTCACATATCTACAGTTCTCACAGGTGTACATGAGCTAATAAGAGATAACATTGAATACAATGTATGCGATATATATATATATATATGTTTTGTGATATAAATTATATGATATGATATATATGTGTGTGTTAATGATTATTGTATATGTTATAAGATATATGATATGAACATAATAGATCATATAAACAAGAGAATAGAAATATGAATGATAATAATATGATAATGATGGGAAATAAGATAATTATATGCATGTGTGGATTTGATATATGAATGGATATATGTTTGGGTATGATGTGATAGCAGTAATTGTTCATGCATGATTACAAGTTATAGTTTACATTATATATTTATTGCCTCACTAAGTCATAGACTTAGCGTGTAGGTGATTTACACGTAGGTTTCAAGAGGAGTGAAGAGCAATGTGGAACAAGATAGGTCAGTTCTCCTTACTGAAAGTCAGATCAGAAGAGAGGTGAATAATATGTATTTTTATATATAAAGTTCTAGTTGGCATGTATACAAAAGAATATATTGTATAAG